CACAGCCAGGTGTTGCTGGAGACAAGCAGTACTCCTGTGGACATGAGGTTCAGATAGGTGGACGTCCCCATAAATACCTCCCAGGAGCAAGATGTACATCTGGGGGCCCCTTGTGCAGGGTTAAGAGTTGAAACCAAGATAACTAAAGCGTTCTTTCAGGCAAAGGATGTAGATGGAGAAGGAAAGAAAGCTGGAGGTTGACTCTTGGGTTTTAACTAGTTAAGAGCTAGGAAGAAAGTTCAAAGGAGGCAAAGAAAGAAGACGGAGAGAAGGGGGTGAGGAGGGAGGGGAAGGAGGAGGAGGAGACAGAGACTGGTATAAATAGGACAGTGTTAGTCAAAGGAGAAGGGGTTCCAAAGGAAGAGGGGAAGAGTGATACTGTTTGTGACCGAAATTCAAATACTAGGCAACTGGTGAGGAAAGGTTCCTTGCAAAAAGGAAAATCTAAACAAATGGTGAATTTTAATTTGTCTTGCATAACTGAATGCCCAATGAAACATCTGTGCAGGGATTGCATTCAGTGTCACCGAATGAACTCGTCGCACTCAGAGGACTGCCTTTAGTTTTGTTGATGCTGCTGAATAGGATACACGTTGCTCTCTCAAGAAACAGCACCTGAATGTTCCTTACAAGCGAGGAGGGCGAGATCAAAGGAACTTCCTTTCTGTACTGTGCATCCCTATTCATATGACATTGACCTGCCGTGCTCTCTGAGGGAGGAGCCCCTTTGGGTCTGCTGTGGGTTAGGTAGACACCCACTAAATATTGATGCCTGCGTAATTAGAGTGACTAAAATAAACCTGGCATAAAATTACCCTACCAGTTAGAAGAGAGACAAAATGAAGTAATTTGATCATGAAAATTGATATAAGTCGACTCTCGGTTTTCAATGCAGCTAATTGGAAGCCATTTATTATTCAAACCCCACTTTTGCTGGTTGGTTTATAGTCTTTTCTCCTTGCCCTGAGAAAGAGGAAGGGGGGAGGAGAGTCCCATGGGCAAAGCTGTCATATTGGGATGGTGGAAAGGAGAAGGATGCTTATTTCTCTAAGGCAGGGCCCCCTCATCTCTTCCATGTATTGATCTGGTCATCTATGACATGCTTCTGTGGGCATGTCCAGGATGACTGGCCATCCTGTTCTCTCCTACTCGAATGAAATTGCAATTGCAACAAAACTGACATTATTGTAGGTGTAGTCTTATTTTTTTTAAGCTTTTATTTATATATTTGTGAGAGAAGGAGGAGAGAAGCAGCCCCTCCCCCCAAGCAGGGAGCCCAATGAGGGACTCAATCCCAGGACTCTGGGATCATGACCTGAGCCGAAGGCAGGCACTTAACCAACTGAGCCACCCAGGCTCATGGTATAATCTTTTGAAAATAACAGCTTTATTGGGCTCTATGATTCACATATCATAAAATCCACCCCTGGAAAGCATGATTTACAAACCAGTGGATGTTAATGTTCACAGAGCTGTACAATCACCATATTGTATCACTGTAGAGAGAAACCCTATTCCCATTAGCACTCATTCCTGTGGCATCCTAAACATCCAAGTTGCTGGCAACCACCAATCTGCTTTCTGTCTCTACGGATTTGCCTACTCTGGCCATTTCATATAGATGGAATCATGAAATGTGCGGTCTTTTGTGACCGGCTTCTGAAACTGGCCGATAGGAACACGAGCTCAGTTTTCCTAGGTTCAATCATGTTGTAACATGTATCAGTACAGACGGCCCCTGACCTAGGACTTAGGATGGTTCGACTTGAGATTTTTCAACTTTACCATGGAGAGGAAGCAATGCGCCTTCTGAAGAAACTGCGCTTCGAATCTGGAATTTGGAATGTGGATCTTTTCCCCAGGTCAGCAATATTTAGGATGACCCTTTCTCGTGATGCTGGGCTGCAGCGAGCCAAAGGTCTCCGTCCACCACAGGATCCCAAGGATAAACAAGTGAGCCACTTAAAACCATTCTGTTTTTCATGTTCAATACAGTATTTGGTAAATGACACAGGATACTCAACGCTCTATTATCAAACAGGGTTTGCGTTAGATGATTTTGCCCAACTATTGTTTAGTGGAAGGATTCTGAGCGCATTTAAGGCGAGCTAGGCTAAGCGATGATATTCAATAGGTTAGGTGTAGTAAATGCATTTTTGACGTATGATATTTTCAACCTACGATGGCTTTCTCGGGACATAACCCCATTGTATGTCAAGGAAGGTCTGTACTTGGTTGCTTTTTACAGCTGGATAATATTCTGTTTGTACGGGTTTATCATGTTTTATCTATCCATTCACCCGTTGATAGACATTTGGACTGTTTCTCTTCTGAAGCTATTGTGAATAATGCAGACGTGAATGTTCCTGCCCAGATTTTGCACATGTTGTCTTGAGGGCGATCTGTAACCAAGAGCAGCTAACATTGCCCAGGAGGTGTCTGCGGGGGACACAGACCTCACCTCATCTCGTCAGTTCAGGACCCCTCCATGCGGAGCTGACGTTCAAATCCCTACCACTCTGACTGCAAGATCTGTTTCTTACCTCCGTGCTGTACTTCCTCTAAGTCTAAAGACTAGAAAGGGAAGTTATTCTTTGCTTCACGCTCACTACTGTACTCTAGGTAAGACATTAGTCATGACATGTCCTAGCTGATCACAACACATACTGTTTGAAAACCGCCAAGCCTGAAAGTGTGGCCTCCTGGAGAAACGATCTCGAGGGGCACAAGGAAGCCCACAAAGTGTATCAGGACAGAGTTTTTCAGATGCCACAGTTTCCTGAAACCACAGGAGAGTCCTAAGGAAGCCCCAGTATCTGAGTAGCATGAAGAACCGTATCACAGCACCTAGCCAGCACCTGTCCATTCCTCAGATGTAGCACACTCCATCCAGACTCTACGCTTTTACCCTGTTACGTCTTCCACCAAAATGTTCCTTTCTTCTCTTCTTGGGCCACCTCCTACTCACTCTTCAGGGCTCATATGATAAGCCACTTCCCCAGGAGACATTTGAGGAGCTGTGCCCAAGGAAATGACGGGGACTGGAGAGAAAGCCCACTCCTCAGCCACCGCGGTGTGGAGCATCCTTTAAAAGCACAGCCTTACAGGATTCTAGCGTGCAGCAGACGCACCTGGTGTCCCATTGCCACCCCTTCACACCTACTGGAACTGGAAAAAAGAGGGAAAATCAGGGACACCCGGAAAACATATGGACACACATAAATGTGGAAACTCAGAGATGGAGGGTTAAAAAGACACATGCAAAGTGAATATTCAGGACTCTTGGGGAGCCTCATCGTCATCCTTCCACCCATCAGCCATCCAAGCCCTACTGACGGAGCTGAGACACCCTCCTCACGCTTCCCTGCATTAATCAGGCACTGTGCTCAGCACTGTGGGTACACAAAGACGGAGGCAGACGTCTAAAAGCTGAAATTGGAGGTGGCAGTACGCGTACATGTCCCCCCTGAAGCTGCAACAGTCGGGCGGGGCACGCAGGGGACATTCCGGGAGCAACCCCGGGGACCCAGCGCAGGTGAGCACCGACGTGAAACCTGCACATCGTAGAGATGCCGAGGCCTCCCGCCTTCCTAGAGAGGCCCGGAAGTGGCCCCGCCGCGGACCGGGCGCAGGGGTGGCGGAGGAGGGCTCGCGAAGCCTGGGCTCGTGGCCGGTCGCGGTGCGCAGGTGCTGCCGGCGTCCGCCGCTGTGAGCGGGCCGGGGGCGGGGTCGAGGCGGGGAGCGGGGGGCGGGGGGTGGCGCGGGCGCCGAGAGCGGCTGCGCGCGGTGGCCCGGGGAAGGGGGGGGCACAGGCGCTGTGGAGGGCGCCCCCCGTGATGGCGGGAACCCCCCCCGCCCCCTTCCAGCTCTCGGTCGGATTAGCAGGGCGCCGCGGCTTCCGAGAACGCCGCGCGGGACTCGGACCCGGCCGCTGGGTTCTGTTGTTTTGTTTTTCCTTGTTTTGTTTGTTTGTTTGTTTGTTTACAAGAGCAGCCCCGGTCCCGAGTTTCCCGCAGGCCAGTCTGGCTGGACGTGCTCGTTCGTTCTCCTCCCACGGTTCCTGGAAATCCCACCTGCCCATAGGGCCGGCGGTTCTGGTTTCCCATCCCAGGTGGGAATGTGAGGTTCGCGCTTAAACTGAATGTCTGTCTTGTAAAGAGGGAAATTTGAACAAAACGTAACTGGTGAGTGGTGCGTGGTAGCAGCAGAGGTACCGGGTGTGACGGACGCTGTGAAGGTGGCAGGTAATCACCGCATTGCCCCAGCCCCGGGGGCGGCCCCTCGCCTCAGTAAGAGCCCAACCTTGGGGGTTCGGGGGCGCACGTGGGTGGCGCAGTGCGTTTGGACTCTCGGTCTCGGCGCTCTGATCGGGGGGGTCGTGAGACTGAGCCCTGCGTGGGCTCTGAACTCAGTGCAGAGTCTACTTTTCTCCTCCTTCCTCTCCTCCCCCACTGCCCCAGCGCCATCTCTCTCTCTCTCTCTCTCTCTCTGAAACAAGTAAATATCAAAAAACAAACAAACGAAAAACCTAGGCTGGGGAGTGCTGCCCATCTGGCTTCAAGCCCAGGGTCTAGCTCAGCCACTGAGAACCAGTTCTGGGTGGGGAGTTTAGATTTTTTTTTCTTCCAGTTAATGGAGATAATTGACATAACTTGTAGTTTTTTTTGTTTGTTTTAAAGATTTTATTTATTTATTTGACAGATGGAGATCACAAGTAGGCAGAGAGGCAGGCAGGGGGTGGTGGGGGGAGCAGGCTCCCCGCTGAGCAGAGAGCCCAATGTGGGGCTTGATCCCAGGACCCTGAGATCATGACCTGAGCCAAAGGCAGGGGCTTTAACTCACTGAGCCACCCAGGTGCCCCATAACTCTGTAGTTTTAAGGTGTGCAATGTGATGGTTTGTTATACTGTGAAATGATCACAGTAAGGTTTGTCAACATCTCAGGCACCTCACATAATTAGTGTTGTGTGTGTGTGTGCACGCGTGTGTGCGCTGAGCTCTAAGGTTCTAGTCTTGGCAACTTTCAAGTATGTAGTAGGGTATTGTGGGCTGTAGTCTGGTATACTGCTATGTATTGGGGTCCCAGAACTCATTCTGTCCTTACTGGAAACGTGTACACTTGACCAACATCTCATTTCACCCAACCCCCAGCCCTGGGTCACCACGATGCTGTACCCCTGGAGTATATGGACTTTCCACATAGCGCTATGCCCTCAGCTAATTTTCTTCCCAAATGTGTCTGGCCTTTTAGGTTGTACACCTCACATCTCTTTTACCTGTGTCAGGGTTACTCCCCTTATCTTTTCTAACTTCATCTTTATTGTTTTGACTGCTTGATATTAAGCACAAATAATTTTCGGATCCCGCATGGAATTTGAACAGCACTATTTCTAAACCGTCTGGCCTCAGTGTATTTTCCTGATCTCAATACAGGAAGAACACAGTTCCGTTTTGCCTCTAGGTAGTACTTGGATAGTAATTTAAAACATACCACCACAGAGTTAAACCACTTGGAGCTGTTTTTATCAACCTTGAAGCAAACACAGTAAAATTTTATTTTTATGAAAGCGGTCTTCCATTCTCCTTTCTGCTCTGGGCTCCAGGGGCACGTAGATTTGTATATTGCATTATAATACCAGAGGGTTAGTAGCCTTATCGAACTCGAACTCCAGGGATAAAGGAGCTGTGTGGGTAATCTAAGGTTCTTATTACTGATCTTTAGCATTTAATTAGGTCTTTGTAAATCTAAAGTACCCATAGTCATTTTTATGAGTTTTCTCATAACTTCCCTGTGCGATATCAACTTTATTACCCTCACTTTTATCTTAGTATTATCAAGAGGTCAGGCGGATTTAAATTTCATTTTTCCCTGTTTGTAATTAAGATTCCTTTTCCTCGATCATGTACTTAACTTTAACCCATATCCACTAGAACGAGTGCTCAGGTCAGATGTGACCTTCTACCCTCCACCCAGAGGAAGGCAGTTAGTTACGAAGCTGGGTTTTGAAAGAGCCTTAAAGCAATTGCGACTATCAACAGTGGTGTGAGTGCCCAGCCCCAGCAGGAATCAGATGGTAACTAATTAATAAAAGAGAAGCCATAAAGTGTGTGTGTAAAGATCAGGCAGCTGGTTGAAAAAAAACTGCTCTTCTCCCTTCCAGCTTAGTGTTCTGGGGAGTATCTTGCAGTTTTCTGAGAAACGTGTCTATTGCATTTTTTTCTGTGCTTATTGATATAGGGAGCCAGGAAGGGAGGAGCTGGGTTTTACCCACCTGGTGGATAGGCTGCTTTTCCTTGCTGTTTGTCTTGCTAAATCATTACTTTTTCCTTACTCATCGCCACCTTTCTTGCCTGACCGTCCTAATCAGGTCAGTATCCAAGTTCTTGCTTCAGATCATTATGGAATGAGTTCAGGGTAATGAGGAGTAACGTGAGTAGGCCTGGCAGGTACTCTGACACGTTAATAATTTGAACTGATACATTCCCAGCATGACTAATATGCACATGTGCACGATGACCACATTGTGGTCCTGTGACTGCACTGGAATGTGCAATTTTAAAAACAAAGAATAATTAGAGTATTAAGAATTTCTGTTGCAGTTTTTTTTTTTTTTAAGATTTTATTTATTTATTTGACAGAGATCACAAGTAGGCAGAGAGGCAGGCAGAGAGAGGGGGGAGTAGGCTCCCTGCGGAGCAGAGAGCCAGATGTGGGGCTCCATCCCAGGACCCTGAGATCATGACCTGATACGAAGGCAGAGGCTTTAACCTGTCTCAGTTTTCTTAAATGAACTCTGAGGCCTGGTCCATTTTCTGAATCCCTTCTCATGGAATTCTTGTGGCGATATTAAGAATATCTTAAACTTTGTTATCTGGCATCCTGTTAATCAAAGTAGAACATCTGTTAACCAAATGGAACATTTCGAAAAACCTGTGTGTGCTGTTTCAGTGAATGACTGCACACTCTTCAGACTATACCTGGACGCTGCCCCCTGGGCTATAAGTCCCTCTCCAGCTCCCGTCCTGTTGTCAGCTCCGCTCCCTGGCATTTCTTTGTCACAGATGAGCCTCTAGCCCAGTCCCATCACCTTTACCTGAGATTCTTCGGTTTCCAGACTCTCCGTCCCTCCAGGGAAAGCTTGACCTTTAGCAAGGACCAAAAGGAACAGGTCTGTTCAGTAAACATACAAAGGCTTTCAACTGTTCACAGAATAGAATCTACATTCCCCCAGCCCCCACCCATCCAGGAACTCAAAGGTGTCTGAAAGCTGGCCCCAGGCCATCTTTCCCACCTTAATCACCAACACCCTGCTTTGGCTTCAGTTTGCATACCAGCCACGGACCCCCGTATGGCCTGCCTGTTGTTGTTACGTTCCTTAATGATGCTCCCTCAGCATGTGGTAACCTGCCTGGTGGTCTCAGCCCATGGAGATCTTCCTGCTGTCCTGATTGACCCCTCAGTGAAGTCTTCTCTCAGACACCCTCCAGATTTCTCCCAACACCCACCCAGGTGCTCCCACAGTACATGGTTTACACCTTGTTTACACTGTCGTATAAATAATCTTATTTTCTCTTTTTGGCCTCATAGTTTAGATATTTGCAAAAGGCTCTCTCTCCATCCTAACTTCCAGAGAGCAGGAAATCTGTCTCCTTTAACTCTGTGTTGTTTTCATCCCGTGACCCAAAATCTGTTAGAAGATAAGTTAAATGAAAATCGCAGTGTTTGTTGACAAACCTGATGATGAGTCTTAGACACCGTGGAGCTCTGCGTCACTTGAACCCATTGTCTTACTGAGCTGGGTGTATTTCACAGTGGTCCACATCATCCGTAATTTGACCGGATACTGGCTGAGTGTCTGCCACGTGATAGATGGTGTTCCAGACTCAGCCCGTGGGAAAGGTAGACGGTCTTAGTTCTCACGGATCTTAACACTCTGTTGGAAGGAGAGCAGTGGTTAAAGAAAAAGTCGACAGATAATGTTAGGTTGAGAAATGTACCATGAAGAAACAAAGCAGTATTGAAGGTGAGGGGAGCTTGAGCGTCTCTTGATTGAGCAGATGACGTTCAAGCAGACCTAAATATTGAAGGGAAGAAGTCAGGGGTGAAGTGTTTGTTATGCCCGAGTTTTCGCACCGGAGAGACCACCAAGGAGCCAAGCACCGATGCAATCACACGAGGGTTTATTTGACAAGCTTAAGCTTGGGCCCAAGTATACCCAACACAGCAGAGTAGGGACTTGGACCCCGAGCCAGATTATAGTCAGGGTTTTTAAAGGCAGAGTAGGGGTGGACTCGGCGGTAGGTGAGGACAAAGGGGGTTTGGATGATGTAAGTCTCTAAGGAATTTTGGAAGCGAGGTCTCCAGGACCTTGAGGGGCTAGCTGTTGTCTGAGGAAAAGGTTATTCATTACCAGTAATAAAAATCTTCTTGTGAGACCCTTTAGATGTGTATCAGTGGGTCATATACTTGGGAATGGTTCTTGACACTATCTTGGAGGTTTAGAGATAAAGTTTCCTAAAGATATTGTTAAAGTAGACTTACAGGATTCTGGTCCAACTTGTCGGGGTAGGGGGTCGGTCAGGCTAGGATTGTCCTTAGCAAAATCTCAAGGTGAGGGCAGTTAAGTCCCCAGGGGAGAGCCACTCTGTCTGTTTCAAGGGCTTGTCAATAGGTGAGGAATTTTAATGATTTTCTTCTCCTTCTGTTTCCCACATCAGCTAATCTTGAGGTGGGATGGCTTTAATTTTCTCAGCCTCCACATTTCCCCCTGAACAATTTTGACCCTTAAATCTTTAAGGTTGTTGAAGGTGGAAGGTCTCATCTTCTGTAACTTCTTCCTGCTGAGTAGGGGCGTAGAGTTGTCCCTACCTACTTGGGTCAACATTGATCATTTAAGGAACGTGTAGGGGAATTACGAAAGACGGAGGCAGCTGAATCCAGGGGTTAAAATCAATCATTAAAGGAGAGAGAGACTGTTTAAAGTGCTAACCTGAGTAGGTCAGAACCCAAGAAGTATTTTGTGATAATCTGGAACATCAAGATGGCTGCACTTATGTCAGGGCTAGGCTCGGGGTGGGTACAGCCTTGTTTTTCTTGGCCTCCACAGTGTCCCCGACTGACATGCACTGTGTTTAGAAACAGCCTCGGTGGCCTTCCCACCAACCGATTGCTGCATGATGGACTGGTTAGCTTTCCTGGCCATCTGATGTCCTTAGCATGCTCATCCAGAAGAACTTGTCAGGCTTTTTGCAACCCTGTGCTCTTGAGAGGTGTAATCATGGTATGTGGAAATGTAATAGAACAACCCATCACCAGACTAGAGCTTGAAGAATAGGTGATTGGAGAAATGGGGTCATGGAGAGCCCATCATATAGGGCTTTTTGCTGGGGCTTCATAAGCCTCTGAGCTTATCATCAGCGCCCCTTTTTTGCTGTAGCAGTAGGCTCAGAGGGGGTCAGTAACACTGTTGCATACTTCTTTCTTACAGGTCCAGCGATCTTTTGACTGCCACACATGGACTTCCAAAAATCCCCAAAGGAAACTGTCCTCATTACCGGAGGAGGTGGCTATTTTGGTTTCCGGTCAGTGCCACAATCACACATGCCCATGGAATTATTTCCCTGATAGTTGCTGGAAAAAAATAGAGCTTTCAATGCTGACATTAATATAGTATCAGCTTCTACATATTGGAATGGTGTTAAACCAGAAATGAACTAGGTTGCCCACTGCGTGGATGCTGAAATTCAGAACTACAGATGTATTCTACTTTAAGAAAAATTCTTTGTAAAGGTATCAAATTAGGGAGATAACTGGTGTCACCAAAAGCATGTGACAATAATAGTTATTATTTTGTAGCTTTATCATTCATAAATATGCCAAAGAACGGGTGGTAGTTTCTAAAACAGAGGGAAAAATATGGGACATGCAGATGCCACGGTATCAGAAGTAAAGCTTCTCAGTGTAATTTGAGGAGATGTGTGGCTCCCAGTTTTGAACCTTCGCATACTTACTTACAGAAGTAAGGGTTGCACCCGTGAACATGGAAGGTGAGGGACTCAGGATAAGCCTAAAAGGCGTGGATCAGCCGTACATCAGTAGGTAAATTATCTTACGCACTTTTCCTCAGGCATAGCTTACCAGCGATTCGATCTGACTTGCTTCTCGTTGCAGCTTGGGCTGTGCTCTGAGCCAGAAAGGATTCCATGTGATTCTGTTTGACATCAGCAGCCCCGTTCATTCCATTCCCGAGGGAATCAAGTTTGTCCGTGGAGACATTCGCCACCTCTCTGCCGTGGAGAAAGCCTTCGAGGATGTGGACGTCACGTGTGTGTTCCATGTTGCCTCTTACGGCATGTCCGGGCGGGAGCAGCTGAATCGGAGCCTGATTGAAGAAGTCAACGTGGGGGGCACAGACAACATCCTCCAGGTCTGCAGGAGAAGAGGGGTACCAAGATTCGTTTACACCAGCACTTTCAATGTCGTCTTTGGAGGTCAAGTTATCAGAAATGGAGATGAGTCTCTGCCTTACCTACCTCTTCACCTCCATCCTGATCACTACTCTCGGACCAAATCTATTGCAGAGAAGAAGGTGCTGGAGGCCAATGGTACCAGCCTGGTCAGAAGTGATGGTGTCTTACGAACCTGTGCTCTGCGGCCGGCTGGCATCTATGGGCCTGGAGAACAGAGGCACCTTCCCAGGGTAGTGAGCTACATCGAGAGGGGTCTGTTCAAGTTTGTGTATGGGGATCCTGGGAGCCTGGTTGAATTTGTCCATGTGGATAACTTGGTACAGGCTCACATTCTGGCCTCAGAGGCTCTGAAAGCTGGCAAGGGCCACATTGCCTCTGGGCAGCCCTACTTCATTTCAGATGGCAGGCCCGTGAACAACTTCGAGTTCTTCCGGCCTTTGGTTGAGGGCCTAGGCTACACGTTCCCATCTGTCCGCCTGCCGCTGACCCTCATCTACTGCTTTGCGTTCCTGACAGAAGTGGTTCACACCATCTTAGGTCAACTCTACAACTTCCAGCCCTTCCTCACCCGCACAGAAGTTTACAAAACTGGCGTCACACATTACTTTAGCCTAGAGAAGGCCAAGAAGGAGCTCGGTTACGAGGCTCAATCGTTTGACCTCCAGGAAGTAGTAGAATGGTTTAAAGCCCATGGTCATGGCAGAAGTCCTGGGAATCGTGACTCTGAATGTCTTCTTTGGGACGGGCTGATGGTCTTACTCTTGGTTCTAGCAGTTCTCACATGGCTGCCTACCTCTGTGGTTCTGTCACTGTGAGGGAACTAGAAGTAAGCTGATCACACTTGCTGAGGTGGTTTTCAAGAAATACAGGTTTAAAATATCTATAGATCTAAATATATCTGTATAGATACCTAGATGGATAGAAATAGATCTCTGGTAGCAAAGTTTGGCTCTTCTAATTGCTACTTCAGAATAGATTCTTGGATCAGGTCTTCATTTCTTACCTTCTTACACTAATCCTGATGGGAGAAAAATAGAAGCAAAGACAAGTTTGAGATATAGTTTCTTGTATCCTCTTTTAGATGAGTATGAAAGAAGTGGCATTGGAGCCATGGAGGCAGACTGAGGAAATTTGGAAATGTCTTGAGTTTCTCTGAGCCAAAAATACACTTATTTCTGTTCCCTCACACTTTGCATCAACTGAAAATAGAATAAAATGTGCACTGATGGGGAATGGCAAAACACTAACAGGCTTGAAAATGTGTGAAAAACACCAAATTGGGTCAGATCCCTACAGACCAACCCTCTGAGGGATGGTGGCTGCTGAGAGGCGTTAGGATTTAGGAATTATTTTTTGCCCTTTAGGATATAAAGGTGTTACACCCGTGTGACCACGTGACAATGTCTGATTTTTAAACAGAACTTTGACCTCATAGGATTCTTTCGAGGATTAAATTAGACAAGACATGTAAAGTGCCACTCAACACACACGAGCCAGTGTTTTTAATATCATTGCTATGCATTCCTTATGAGGGTTTTCTTCTTCAGGGTAATTCTGTTCAGAGGCTGCTGGTGCCACTCACCTTTCCAGAATGTCTTTGTGGTGAGCCCTCTGAGTCCTCAGCAAGCATGTTTGAATATACTCAGTATTTGTAAAGTTTAGGTCTCTAAGCGTAGATTGAAATTTAGGAAGCAGCTACAAATGTGATTAAGGAAGATGATCAAGCAGATGATGTTGTTTGTAATTTAAAAATGAAACATAACTCTCAACCGATAGACTGGTTTCTCTTCCGGGAAGGGCTTGGGTTGTCGGAAGGCAGCTTCCAGTGAAGGATGTTTTGAGCAATGGCGTTGCTGTCTCGCCACTCTTGAGGACTGCTGGGGAAGACATTCAAGGTGCCCAGGAACCAAAGTGAAAAGAAGACAGAGAAACTTTACCCGTTCCATGGTTCCAGCTTCAGAAAAGACAGCATTAAAGCCCAAGGCAGATAGATCGTTGAAGAAGGTTACGTTAGAGTCATGTTGGGATTATTTGTAGAAAGAGGAAGCTCTAGGAATCCTCCCTGGTAAATGCTGCCTGGGTGTTTGGGGAAAAGTGCTCAACTTGACACCAGAAGACCTGCACCATTAAGGAAGATACCGTGTGACCCTAATCCAGTGACTGAAGCCTCTTCGTTTCCTCACTTGGTAAATAGGAATGACTTGTATTTGCCTTTTTTACAGACCCACCACCCAGCTCACAGGGTTTGTTGTGAGCACAAAATAAGATGTTGTGAAAATACTTTTAAGATATAAATTACATCATCACTATTAGGTAGTGGTAGTGTTCATTTTTGGTAAAATGTTTTTGGAGTCTTTTCTAAAGTTATTTTTTGATGGGGGAGAGGTAGGGAGAGGATCTCCAGCAGGCTCCACACCCAGCGCGGAGCCTGATACGGGGCTGGATCTCACGACTCCGAGATCGTGACCTGAGCCAGAATCAAAAGAGCTGGATGCTTAACTGACCAAGCCACCAGACACCCCTGTCTAAAGATTTTGCTTTTAGTCTCGTGTCACCTTGTGTGAGCGCTTGCAGCATACCCAGTAGTCCAGGTGCTACAGGTCAGGCCGACTTAGAGCCCAGTAATGGCGTGGTGCATCCTCACAAGGTCACTGAGAGAGTGGGTAAGTTCAGCTTATCCACGGTCACTGAGAGGCATTGTAGACTTTCAAATCATGTTTTGAATGAAGTCCTTTAAAAGAATGATAGGTACTTCTTAGTTTTCTTACACTAAGTATACTGAGTACAGTGGGGTTTTGATTGGTTTTGTTGTTTTCTACGATCAAGAGATACTCATGAAATTCAGGATGGCTATATGGGGTCTGTTGGCATCCAGGCATGAGGGATTTGGCTATGCCACAACATTTGACACCATTGTCCACGCTCTCCTTGAAATAGCTCTTTCACTGTTGATGAACTCATTCTTGGTCGCTTTCCTTATATTAATTATCTATTGTATTACTTCAAGACCTACTACAAATTAACCTAAGCCATATCATCTTAACAAATCACCCCCAGGACATATCCTAAAACAACAAACATTATATCCCAGTTTTTATGGGTCAGGCACTTGGGAGCAGCTGAACTGGGTTGGTCTTGCATGGGGTCCCTCATGAGGGTCATCTCATGATAATGTGGCACTACAGTCAGACTGAAGCCAGAGGACCCCCCCCCACACACACACAATGGCTTATCCACATGACTGTTGGCATGAGGCTCAGTTCCTCACCATGTAGGCATCTCCATTGGACTGCTTGAATGTCTTCATGGTTTCCCCTAGAGCGGTGATCCAAGAGAGCATGCTGGAAGGTACAATGATTTGTCCTCAAAGGTGACATACTGTCACTTCACAATATACTGCTTACACAGGGCCGTCCTATTCAGTGTGGGAAGGATGTACCCAAAGGTGTGAATACCAAAAGATGGGGAATGTTGAGGGCCATCTTGGAGGCTGGGCTCCTGGTTCCATCTTTGGAGTCATCTTTCCTTTTCCATAAAAGGTAGCCCGTATTCACACGTACATCGCTTTCTCAGCCTGCTATCACCCAGTAGAGTATGAGAGGTCCAAAGACCTTTTTACATTTTGTAGTGTATCTCTTTTCAGTCCAAGCTGGTAGTGTGCTGCCAGTGTAGTTATTGTGAACACTGTGTCTCCTGGGAGTCTTACTCCACCTCACTCCATTAGCAAAGGTCACACCCACAAATTTCTTTGAGATAAGTCCTTTTCTACCTTGAGCTTCTGCTCATGCTGCTGAGGGACAATAGCCTTAAGACTCTTAAAAGCTTTATTATTTGAACAACATTTTTAGGCACCCCCTTATGTCTCTTTGAAGTCTTAAAAGGTTTTATAGCCACAACCTCGGTTGTGCACTGTCATTTCCACAATACCATATTGTCTACACAGGTTAGCCCTGTTCCGTGTGGGAGGAGACTACCCAGGCCATAAAGACCAGGGGATAGGGAATCCTGGAGCCCGCTATCCCACTCTTATGTCTTACCAGTTTCCTTGTCCTCTCCTCCACTCTGGTGGTAAGTGGTAGATTTCTTCAGTGCTCAGTACTAGACCCTCCTCTAATACCGTAATTTCTCTGAGCCCCTGATCTTGTCCAAGTCCTAGGTTTCATTTCCATCTCTATCCAAATACATACTACTAAATAGAGTTCTAGGGGTGCCTGGGTGGCTCAGTGGGTTAAGCCGCTGCCTTCGGCTCAGGTCATGATCTCAGGGTCCTGGGATCGAGTCCCGCATCGGGCTCTCTGCTCAGCAGGGAGCCTGCTTCCTCCTCTCTCTCTCTCTCTATCTGCCTCTCCGTCTACTTGTGATCTGTGTCTGTCAAATAAATAAAATCTTAAAATAAATAAATAAATAAATAGAGTTCTAGCCCAGACCATTCTGAGCTCCAGACCCATCTATCCAAGTCCCTCTCCACCTGGGTATGTCACACGCGCCTCTCCACCAACATATCACATAAGTCCTCCCAATTCTTACATGGTTTCATTCTTTAGTAAATGTCACCAGTATCCATTGAATTTCTTAGGCCAGAAATCTGGATAATCTTCGATCCCTGCCTCCCCTTGACACACCTAACCCCCCTTGAAGCCCACTGGCTTTAACTTCTGCTCATACCTCAACGTTGTCCAGTGAACAGGTGTTACCTGTCTTCTTAACTCCAGTAATATCCTCTTTTCCACTGACATCCCCTCCTGCCCTCCTTCAATCCGTTCTCCACGGGCCAAGCAAAGTGATCCTATATGTAAATGTAGGTCACTTCCCTGCTCAAAACTCTTCTCAGGTATACGCTGAAAATCCTTCGTGTGAGCCTGAGGCAGGCCTTGCCCGATCTGGCCCCTGCTAACTGCTTCAGAATCACCTCCCTGCATACTCCCTTCTCTGCCCCAGCTGCACCAGCTTCTTGCAGGTTCTGGCTTCCCAGCTTCTCACACCCCTCCCCACTTGGTGCCTAATGTTTATTGCACATCTTGGCTTCAGCTCTCTTCTTTCAGAGGCCTTCCAGGATCCCTGCAGTGTAGGTGTGGCCCTCCTGCTACCAACTCTCATACCACCTGCTTCTCTTTTACAACCTTTATCACAACTGGAGTAGTTGGTGCAATCATTTGTCTAACCCGTAAGCGCCTGTGTCCAAATGCCTCACACAAAACAGGAGTTCAGTATTTGTTAAGGAGCGTTATTTTACCTTCTGAGGGTGAACACTCCATTCTGGTGCATACGTTAGTGTTTGTATTCTGTTGACTGGGAAAAACGGCCCACCACTATACTAGCGTCGTGTGTTAACGAAATCAAGACTAAATGGGGTCTGGTAAATGAGCAAGGCCATGCTCCACGTGACACAGAGCTGCGACGTTCTGTAAGAAATTCAGCGAAGGGCGAGGGATGTGGACAGAGTGGAAAGTTATTTGAGTTCTCTCCATGTCGCAGCTGAAAACAGACCACTTTAAAGAAGTCAGGTCTATTTTCTGAAGGGTAACTCTCTTCCTTTCTCAGGTCAGGAGATAACGCAGTTGAGGAATTCCCATCAGTTCTACTGTTCCCAGCTGCCCTCACCTTCCCTCAACCCTGGATTGAATCCCCAAACCTGCGAAAAGCTGCAAAACCATGTTTATGCTTGTGCACATGGGGGTGCTTCTAGACACCTGGGCAAGAACCAGCCGGCACTGCCACCCCAACCACAGCTTCCAAGGAAGAGTTGGCCAGTCATTGGTAAGTGTGTTGGAGGATCAGACCAGTTGACAGAGAGCCTTGCAGTAGAAACCAAATTGCCTACATCTGCAAGAAAGGAAGAGGAGCCTTTTCAGTGCGTGCGGTGGAAATGCTTGATTTCCTTAGTGCTATTCTAAACATGGGTGTCAGAGGGTGCCATGTCACAAACGGCAGGTTTCTGGGCACCAAATGACCTAGGCTATAGTATTTCTCAAGGCTACAGAATAGGCCTTGGAGAGGGGAAATGTTTTATATTTTTTTATTTTTTTTTATTATTTTTTTTTTTATTTATTTGACAGAGAGAGATCACAAGTAGAGAGGCAGGCAGAGAGAGAGAGAGAGAAGCAGGCCCCCTGCTGAGCAGAGAGCCCGATGCGGGACTCGATCCCAGGACCCTGAGATCATGACCTGAGCTGAAGGCAGCGGCTTAACCCACTGAGCCACCCAGGCGCCCCTATATTTTTTTTAAAAAGATTTTATTTATTTGACAGAGAAGGGGAGAGAGCACGGGCCGGGGAGGGGTGTTGGGAGAGGAAGAACCAGGCTCCTCACTGAGCAGGAAACCCCATGCTCTGTTTCCATCCCAGGAGCCTGGGATCATGACCTAAGCCACTCAGGCGCCCCATGGTTGTATTTTTCTAAGTCTCATAACCTGTTGATTATAAGAAAGCCAGTACTGTTTTACCGCACAGTTTCACCGGCAGTTGTTGGAGCACCTCCTACCTCGTATTCTTTTCCAAATTCTCTCGCCCTACAAACAGGGTAGAAGAGCTAGCTGGCAGAGTACTACTGCCCGCTCTCACCCAGTTGGGCACCCCGGGGTTAGTGGTCCCTTTGTAAGCTGGTCTTGGCATCCAGCACCAGCAGCTCGTGTCTACCCAACCCGCCTCTTGTTTGCCAGCATCCCTTGCTTTGGGCAATGACGCCCAACCCCGTTCACTCTTATCGGTGAGAGAAATCCATTCCCCGCCCATTTCCGGGCTCCTCGTGCAAGATCTGGCCAATCAGAAGGCGGCCTTCCTTGGGAGCACAGACATTGGTCAAGGCGCGGCCAATCAGCATCGTGTCTTCTGCTTTTCTCCTGGAGCTGCTGGGAGAGATTCTCTTCGCTGCGCTGACTTGGTCCTCGGGGCCGCGGGGACTCCTCTACCCCGAAAGGGAGACTTGGAGCTGAAATGTTGTTTGGGCTCCTGGCTCCGGCTGGGCGTTAAGGACCCCAGAGCCCAGAAAGGGCGAAAGATAAGGTGCTTGAAGACCTCAAGGAGTCTCTGCCACCCAGCCGTACCCAAGGCCAGCTGCATCCCCGATCGTCTGGTCCTGTGAGTCTCGCTGCATTTTCTTCTCTGCTTCAGGTTTTTGTTTGCTTGCTTGTTCGTTTGTTTGGAGTTGGGTTTTTCGCCATGAATTGAATTGGGAATTTCGCCATGGCTAATAGTCTCCAGTAGGCCACTCCTGGGCACAGCTGAACGCACTTTGTGGTGCCCAAGGGCACCATTCTACACTCACCTGTGTGCCTTCTGCCTTGGACGGGGGGGAGATCGAGGGCAGGGCGG